ACCTGAAAGCCACTAGGGCATGAGCAGTACAAGGAAACAGTATGAATCCACTGACAAAGTATTTAATGCACAACTTGATTAATTCCATGATGGATGCCCAATAAAGCTAATTAAATAAAAACAATCTCTGCTTTCTCATGGTTAAACATAAACTCTGAAAAAACAATTAATCAACCGAGGAAAGAAGTCACCCCAAAAATTTACACTAGTTAGTTTCAGAAAAACAACTACACAAACCTAAAATATTTATAGTACATTTTATAATCACATTATAAATCAAACTCATCGGCATCTCTCCTTGTTTAAAGTTCCCTGCTATATATGTTTTTGTAGTGAGAAAAATCAATGATACCTTAATCCACAATTTATACAAATCTGTACTTACAAATATGTGTTTGTAAGGAAAAAAAAAAGGTAGACCCATATAGTATTTATAAAATGCACATCTACAAGGAATAATGTAACTGGTGAAAGGTGAAACAATATATGCTCAGAAGTCAGAGGAGGTATAATAATGCTTCTGCCAACTTAAATTTGTTCTTTCCAAATCCACTTATTTGTGAAAGGTCATTCGGCAGAGGTAAAATCACAATCTTTCACTGAAGTTACTTTAGCGCAACTTTGAAAAACTGTTTGTCAGGAAATCTTGTTAAGCCTCCAGTTAAGTAGCCATTCTTATGATATTACTATGGATTAGGTCATTTATAATTTATTTTATTTATTTATTTATTTTTTTTTTTGAGACGGAGTCTCGCTCTGTTGCCCAGGCTGGAGTGCAGTGGCCAGATCTCAGCTCACTGCAAGCTCCACCCCCGGGTTCACGCCATTCTCCTGGCTCAGCCTCCGGAGTAGCTGGGACTACAGGCGCCCGCCACCTCGCCCGGCTAGTTTTTTGTATTTTTTAGTAGAGACGGGGTTTCACCGCGTTAGCCAGGATGGTCTCGATTTCCTGACCTCGTGATCCGCCTGTCTCGGCCTCCCAAAGTGCTGGGATTACAGGCTTGAGCCACCGCGCCCGGCCAATATAATTTATCTTTAGTCAAACGAACACCATGTGGTAAAGCCTGGAAGAAAGTCTGAGTTTATTTCCGTTTGTCCCGTTGTGGGGAATTAGGACCTAAATAAATGCAACAAGGTGCCCCTAACTGCAAAGTCACACACAGTGCTTCTCTCTGCCTTCCTGTATGCTGCTACAGTGTGCCAGAGACCAGCAGAGGGGCTGAAAGGAGTCTGAATCACAGGCCCAAAGGCCCAAAACCATACCACATTTCTCTAAAACACACATGCTTCTCGATTTACAACAGGGCTACATCCCGACAAATTCTTCCTGAGTTGAAAATACATTTAATATACAGCAGCGTACCTATTGTTTACTCTCGTGATCACATGGCTGACTGGTCACAGCTCACTTCCATTGTCCAGCATCCAGAGAAAGTATTTTACTGCATATTATTAGCCCAGGAAAAGATCAAAATTCAAACCTTGAAGTATGGTTTCTACTGAATGTGTATTGACTTTGCACCACTGTAAAGTCCAAAAGTCCTAAATAGAACCATTCTGAGTCGGAGACTGTCTTTATATGCCATAAAACATTTTTTAAAAGAAGAAAAGGAAAAAAAAAATCTATTCTTTTTCCTGGTTAAGTCATTCAAATCTTGGGTTCATCATCCTTAATGAAATAAAATAATGTCTGTATTATGGAAATGTAGCGAAAAACAAAGCTAACTTGCAAAGCTCTTTGCGAAGTGCAAAACACACGTTATGGACATCACAGATAACGGTTACAAACTCCTACTCTAGTAAGAACCCCAGGACTGCCAAAGGCAAGCAGGCAAGCACAGTTCCCAGTTCGGGAAACCCTCATCAGTCTCACGCCAGTTCCTCTGTTGGCGAAAACCCCAGCAAGAGCTGAGAAACAGCATTCCAGGTTGGACACATGGAGATAACTAGGAGGCCAGGACCTTACTCTCAAGAGGAACTGGAATCAGAACCGGAAGTCCAGAATGAAATCTAAATCCATCACCCTCTGTCTTTCTCCACTGAACTCAAAAGGACAGGAATAGAGATCTATGGGTCTTAGAGACATGCCACTAAAATCAGTAGTTAACTGCTTCCTATAAAGCAATTTTGATAACTGTCTTGTGAATAAATAGCTACCAATCAGATATTCATATTTCAGAAGAATATAATGGAGTAGAAATCAAAATGAAAGATGAATGGAACTTTCTATATCTAAAACCTCATATGGCCCGCATCACTCAGAGGAATGTCAGAAATCTCTTATAAGAGTGGATGTTGACAAACTTACTCAATCATATACTATAAGTAAAACTGTAAATATAACAGCTTTGGACTTGCTATTCTCTTTTGTCCCTATCATGTCCAGTTAATTTTACTTTTGCCTGCCTTACTTTTTTGACACTGTCTTGTTTGTGTTAACATCCTTCAGAGAAACATTTTAAGACTTTTCAGTAAGTCATGCAACCACAAATAACTAGAAATAGGAATCCAGTAAATGCAAATACAAGTCAAGGAATAAGGAGAACTTCATTCCATTTCTGATTTTTACCTACAATCTTTTGTATGGCTTTACAGGTGGGGTGAAGGGCTGGATGGCTAACTTTGGTTCATAGCTTGTGTGCTATTTTTGATTTTTTAAATATTAAAAAAGTTCCTAGGTGAAAGTTATGAAAAAATTGCATCTATTGGTCTTACAGTTATTTAGCATCTTCTGTTTGCCTTCTGAAATATTTTCTTGGGGTTCATGTAGTTATAGAAAATTAACAATTGATTTCTCCCCAGTTCTTCTCTAGTGCTTAAATCTAAATGAGGCACTTGTATAGGCCACTAGGGAGAGACATAGAGTCTTCACATCAGTTTCTTGGCAGTTGTGTGACATGTTTCATAGCAAGGACACAGCAGTTTCACTGAACACATTAATGACACATGCCCTGTCAAGGCTCTATTCACCCACTGGGGAACGAAACTTTAATGGAGCAATGAAATACTGCTTTGTGGTCTATGGAACTGAGAGATGATGTTTCATATGGGAAGTGATGTTACATCACATGGGAAAAGAACCCACATCACATGCAGAACACTAACCCATATTCACTATACAGAATATAAAAAGGGTTAAATATCAAAAGCAACATTTGCAAACAAAAATGCATAGAGATTTTCACGGCAATGGTAAAATTTGCCATATCACCAATGGCAAATTTTACATAACCAATGAAGACACTTTTGAAAGTTAAAAATAAGTTAACTTTTTTATTCTCCAATCCCATACCTATACATAACACACGTAAACACACACACACACACACACACACACTCAGGGTACATGAATTCAAGACTCACCCAGCAGTGAGTGACTCTCATACAGTCTATTGGCTTATCAGGGAATGCTTCTCATTTTACTTTCTACTGCACATTTTCTTACTGTAAACCAAAGGAAGGGACCATAGCCAATACAGAGATGTTGCCTTACTAAATCATACTTTTACTAGTTTTGCCTTTGCAGAAATAGCAAATAGGTACTGCAAAATCAAGGACTCAAATTATCAGAAGTGTTATTGAGCCCAATATTACATCTCTGTGGTATTTAAGAACAGAAAGATATTTTCATCACTATAGTTATGGCAATGTGAGTATAGGCACTGAAAATTATTTTTGCAATTCACAGAATGCAGTCTGTTCTGCTATTTCATTTATATTGTTTTTACTTAAGAGGCATTCCTTTAACCCCTATCTTAAATTATTACACATTCCAACATTTTAATGTTTCCCCAAAATTTAAATACAAAGGTAGTTTGATTTTCAAAAATTACTCTTCTCAACCTTAAAGTGTATTTCAAAATAAAAATAAAATATTTCAAAATATAAGGCTACTTATTTTCTACACATTGTGTATGTGTTAATCAATAGTCAACTTAAAGTTGACTGTAACACACCACAGGTATACCTCTCCACTTGCCATCCGTTGAAATAAACCACTGTAGTGTAGTTCCAACAAGCGATACTGCAAGTGTTTGAACTGAAATGACGAATATAACTTCTTTAAGAACTCTCTTAAGCGTACTTTTTATGGCGATGGCAGGTATGAACTTTTTAGATAAATATATACTCTTTTAGATGAGCCAGTAAGAAGTAGGAACAAACACAAATCCTTTTTGAAAATCAGAATGCCTCAAAAGTATTTCGGCAACATTTGTAGGCAAAGGATTAAACACCTCTTATTTAAAACAAAACAAAACAAAACAAAATAAAACAAACAAACAAAAAAAAACCCAAACAAGAAAAAAAAAAAAAAAACAACCTTAGTTTTCAGTATCTCATGACCAGATTTTAGGAATGAAGAGCTTATAAAGTTGAAACAAGCCTTGCTTGATTGTGATCTAACTGACTCTAATCTCCTGTTACATCTCAAGTCTGACCAATTTCAAGTGAACTCTGAAAGCCCTGGAGCCTGGTTACTAAAGTCCCTGACACTTTTTTTTCTAAAGTCGCGCACAGCGCCTGGTGCTCCGCAGCTATGCACACTCCGGGAAAGTAAGGCTGGCTTTACTGATAACCAGTGTCCCAGAATCTGTCTGGAGTCCCATGAATCCGCTGGGGAAAGAAACGAGCATTTCCCGACCAAAATGAACTCACACTCGCCAGAGCCCCGCTGACTGGGCACAGTTCAAGACCCCCTGGTTGGCCCAGAGGAAACCAGTCTGAAATAGCTTTCGGGATCTCTCACTGGGCACCTCTCCTCCGGGCCCTTCACTCGTGTAACTTGCTTGCCTCTCTAGCAACAAGTTTCTATTTAAAAAGAAGAAAACTTTTCTCCAAAGCAGCCTGCACTGAGCTCAGTAACTTTGGATCCCACGTACACAAGCTTAAAGCACATACACACTTTCCCCCGCGCAGGTTCTCGGGTCCTCCGCAAACCCTAACGCCGCAAACCCTAAAGCAAACTCTCGGGTCTTCCGCAAACCCTAACGCAAACCTACCATGGCCTCTCCCGCGTCGGGCTCCGCGTCCGAGACGTCGAGTCCGGACTCTAAGGCGGCGGCGGCGGCGGCGGCGGGCGCCTCGCGAGGACCCGGGAGCAGCGCAGCGGCGAGCAGAGAACACGCCAGAGAGAAGAAGCCCAGCAAGTGCATGGTGGAAGGACCGGGGGTGGGGGACCGGTCCGCTGGCGGGGGCAGGGGTGGGGACAAGGGCGCCCCTGCGAGGCCGCGGGCCCCTCCTGGTCCCTCTCCCCCGGGCTCCTCCCGGCGACCCCCCTGGGCGAGCCGGAGGCGGCGGGAGCGGGTCCGGGGCTCCGCGTTCCCAACTTTGCAGGGCGCCCTCCCAGCCAGTGCCAGGGAAAGGCGGCGGGTGTCAGGTAAAAGCCTCACAGGAAACCGGACATCCGAGCTCCCCGCATTCGGAGCCCGCGAGGTGAAGCGAGGGCGAGGGAGGACGCCTCCACGGTCCGCGTCGGTGTAGCTTTTTGGAGAGAGGGGGGGAGAGCCAGAACGCCCCGCGATGTTCAGCCCCTCCAAACCCGCCAGAACCCTCGTCCCCCTCCTCCCTCCCCTTCCCCGAAGTGAGAGGAGCCGGGCCGCGGGCGCTGCGGCGGGGGCGCTGGCGGCGGTGCCGGGGGCGGGAGGAGGGCGGCGGGGCGGCCGGCGGCGGCGGGGCCCGGGAGCGCCGCGGCGCAGGAGCCTCCAGAGCGCGCCGGGCTGAGCGGCGGCGGCGGCGGCGGGCGCAGGGGCAGGGCATGACTGACGCGCCCTCTGCCTGCGCTTATGTGAGAGAAAGCGGCCGAGGGAGGGAGCGTGCCGAGCCCGGACTGCCCTCCCCTCTCACTCTCCCTCAGAAGCCGTCTCCCTGGAGCTCCCCGTTTCCCTCGCCTCCTCCCCGGCGGCCCCACCTCCCCCGACCCCCACTGGATCTCTCCCTCCCCGCCCCCCGTCCCCTGCCGGGAGCGGGCGGCCGGAGGAGCAAGTTCAGTCCCCGGGCTGGTGGTTGGCGGGACCGGCTTTAGAGGTGATGCGACCACCCTGGACCACGTGGAGAGAGGAGAAACTAGGCACCGTGGGGTGGAGGGAGTGCCCGCTTTATCCTCGCCGCTCCCGAACTCTTGTCCTCCCTCCCGCACGCCTGGGCCCCAGCGCCCTGCTCAAAGTTTGGAAATGTCCTGGGGGTTCTAAAAGTTCCAAAAGAAGGTCATCACTATGTCAGAGAACCCTATGGGACCTCGGAGGGATCCCCTCTCTCCCTTGGTCTGTGTAGTTGAAAGTTGCCTGAGGATGCAAGAACTGCAGTTCTCAGGATGCAGTGCAGGCTGTTGGGATGGATGCTAATGATCCCTTTGGAATCCTCCACTTCTGACAGGTGAGGAGAAGGGCCAGAATCTTCGTAGAGAGTAAAGAGACATATTGTCAGCTTCTGCGAGAAGTTGGTTTACTTGAAAAAGGGGCTGGTAAAGAGACATGTGTGTGAGACATATTCCAGAAAGGATGTAATATCGGAAGAAAAGTGACTGCATTTCCCCCTTGGAAAAGCACTAGGGTCTCCGTGGGGCTGGTGGCATTGGCTGGCTGCCTCCTTGGGGCAGGGTGAGCAGGTTACAGAAGACCATGCTAAGGGGTTTCAACAGTGTACATAACATCAAAAGTCTGCCTTTCACTCCCAATCTACTTTTAAGTACACTGAAGTTATAGGTCCATAACATCTTACCGGAAGAAGAGACTTTCTTATCTGGTTCAACTCTAGAAGATTTGAAACTCCTCACCCATAATTCACTTGAAGGCTTAAATATCTCAAAGGACAGGGAACCCTCCATTCTTTGTGGCTATTCAATCCATTTGTCGATGAGTAACACTGCTGAAAAGCATTTCCTTCCATCTCTCTATTGCTCTCCACTTCTGGAGTTTTACACAATAAATCTAATCTCATTTCCACAACTGAGTCCTTCAAATATTTTGAAAATATTTGTCATGGTCTCCCTAAGCTAACTACTCCTGGCTAAATATCCCTTTTATTCCCCAAGATGACAGTTCCAGTTTCCCCCCTTAACCATACTGTTAGCTTTCCATGTTCGTGAAGTATGCGATTGAGAACATGGCTCAGTACTTAGTGCTATAATGAGCATGCAGAATGGACAGTATGCCTTTGTTGACACAGCCTTGGATTGAGTTTATTTTCTGGCAGCCAAATCACAGTGTTGACTCACACTACCCTTAAAGTCAACAAAATTCCTCAATAATTTTTCATGTGTACTGCTACTTAGTCACATCTAAATTACCCTGTATTTGTGGAGTTAAGTTTACTGTATCCAAGATGCTTTTTTATGTATCTTTATGAAATTCCATCCCATCAGACTCAGTCCATCATCCAGCCTGTTTAGATGTTTTGTGATTTGGAACACAGGCAGTGTATCACTCTCTTGCTGTCATCCTGCTATATGCGTATTTGATCAGCCTGCCGTAGTTATCTTCAGACACTGATAGATCTGTGAAAAGAGAACAGCTAAGGGCAGACTGGGGTAAGATTTAAATAGAAGGTGGAGTTTCCATTCAACCATTTGCTATTACAATGATTCTCAACTTTGATTGCACTTGGCATCACAAAAGGAGATTTTGAAAAAACAGATGCTTGAGTACACCTTCTGACTTTCTGGCTGAACTGGTCTAACTGGAGTAAGACTTGGACATCAGGATTCTAACAGTCAAGCAAAATTGAGAACCACAGGCATGTCCAACACCCACAGGCCTAGCAGTGGGTGAATACTGGAAAACCAACAAACTCAAAATATATCCAAAGTATATTAGTATCATATTAACTACTATACTATTTAAATGCAGCAGGAAGCTGTATTTAAACTTTTTTCTCACAAAAATGTTATCTTCCTGCTCCTATATTTTGAGTCAGAAAATGCTGGCAAAAAGTTTACTTGAATAAAAAAAAAGGTCTCCAGAAACAATCATGCAGTAGTTGTTTAAGAATGTCTTAAGGTAAAAAGGAATAGTTGCTCAGGACTTTTTCTTGTTTTTCTTCATTAGCCCGTGGAAACACTTTTTGCCACTAGCAGATTTTAAAGGTTAAGAAAGTCCTTTTCACTGGTTTGTGAGTTCATCACTAGCTTCATGCAAGACCTATTTTACAACAGGTCTTCTCAATCTGGTTTTTCAAAAAGCATTGCTCAGTCAGTGGAGAAAGAGAGTTAGGTAGCAGAGCCCCAGCCAGAATAACACCTCTTTTACATATTGAGTTTTTGTTTTCTTTGATGATAGGTTTTGTTGTTTGTGTTTGTGTGTGTGTGTGTGTGTGTGTGTGTTGTTTGTTTGTTTGTTTTGAGATAGAGTCTCACCCTGTCTCCCGTGCTGGAGTGCAGTTAGAGTACAGTGGCGCCATCTCAGCTCACTGCAACCCCTGGGTTCAAGCTATTCGCCTGCCTCAGCCTCCCATGTAGATATGGGAGATGACAGTTTTGGATGGCAAAATAATGATGATAGTATATACATTGTACATTCTCTCATATCCATTCTGACCATCTACTTTACTTCTGATTTGTTATTCCCTACCTCCTTGCTTTGTTAGTTTTACTTTGTTGCTTCATTTCAAGTTTTTTTAGTTGAATGCTTAGTTCATTTTTCTTCTTTTTAGTTTAAAAATACAAGTTTCGGGCCATGTGTGGTGACTCACATCTGTAATCCCAGCATTTTGGGAGACTGAGGAAGGAGGATCACTTGAAGGTACTTTGAGACCATCCTGGGCAACACAGCAAGACCCCATCTCTGCAATCAGTCAGTTGATCACTAAAATACAAGTTTTGTCTAAATTCTGCTTTACCTGTGTTTCTCAAGTTTGACACGTAGTGCTTCCTTTGGCAAACAGTCACAAATATATCTTAATTTGTTTATATTTTTAACCCAAAAGTTATTTATGTTTTCTTAGTTTAGGGCTATATGATTTTTATCAATTTCTAATTTTATTATATTTAATTTTTGCTATAAATGATGTTGCTTTCAGAAATGCATTCAGGCTTTCTTTGTAGTCCTGGATATAGCTGATCATTGCAACTAATTCTGTGTGTGCTTTATTTTTGTTGGGTATTAATTTTGAGCTTATTATAATATTCAAATCTCGTTTGGGAATGACTTGTTAAAATCTCCAGTTATAATTGTTGACATGTTTTTCTGTTTCTGACTGTAGTTCTTTCTGTTATTTTTTAACATAATGTGATACCATATCATTTTGATCTAATTTTCTTCTTAGTAGTAAATAATGTCATTTTTTTAACTTCCGATATTTTTACTTGAAGTTCTACTTTTTCTGATATTAAAATCATAGGCTTTAAGAATTGGCATCAGCTGTGAACATGACTTAGGTAAAACTATGAACCAGTTATGTACACATGACTTAGTTGTTTCTTCTAGGAAACATTAGCCTGGAAAAGATAAGACTGCAATCCAGTACTTAAATTCACTGTTTGCTTCAGGAAATGCTGGCAAAACAATATATTGAAGACAATAATATTCTGACTCTGGTAAACAGCCTGCTTATTAATAACAGTTTCCTTACCCAAACTCTCACTTACAGGTGTTAACCGACCCTAAACTAGTAGGTTATGAACTTTGCCCAATCTTACTCCATTCCCCACTTTGAAAAACCCGCCTTCAACTACTGTGTCCAGACTCCAAAGCTCGACGACTGTTCTGCTTCTGACTTACCCAAAATACCCTAGGACCCCGTCCAGGTGGCGCTCTCCCTACTGCAGTAGGTTCGACTAAATGGAACTTTTGCTTATCGAAAGGTTTTCTACTGATATTTTGGGGTGTTCGACAACTTGGAGGTCCCATTGAAATCCCTTGTTGCTCAAGCAAAGATCCTAAATTCAAAATAGTGCAAATCACTGAGGCCTCTTGAGCTTCCTGGCTTGGCGGGGCCAATCACTCTGACTACAACAAAGCGTTAAGTCTTCTGTTAGATTTCAGTCCCTCTTTCTTTTTATCAAGCTACCAAGTGCTAAATGTATTTTATCCCCTAAGATCTCCTCTCAAGAACTCTCTGATTATTTCATCAGACTTGAACAAATTTATCCTCAATAGATATCTGCCTTATTACTAACTATTGCTTTTTGTCACTGCTTTCTTCAAAATTTTCTCATGGG